AGCTGAGGTGTTTCTCACCCTCAGCTAACGTGTATTAATGATTGATGAGGAGTCGCCGGGATAAATCCCAAAGTACACGCTTTTGTGACAAGGTGCCGAGCGCTGTGGGCGATGACCAAACGTTTTCTGAAGGTGACTAGAGTGGGGACACAAACAACTGAGTTTGAAAGTAGGTTCCAGGGTTGGCAGACCCACCGAATGGAGACGTATTTTCTGGGACAGCCTAGACGACTGTTAATTTCAGGTGATCATCTTGTATGCCAATCCAATCACCCAATAGCTGGTTCGCGTCCAGCTGTTAAAGACTAAACAGTACGGCTTGCTTCGTTACTGTAATGTGATACCCTATTTTCCCGTTGACGTTGCCGAGATAGAGACGATTATGGCATCAACAAGCCGTCATGGAAATAGACGATGATCCTACCGCTGTCGTCAGCAACAAGAAGGGGGTGGTGACATTGTGTATGGTCCTAATGAGTCCACTGTGTTGGGGATGTTCTTAACGGATACTATTGTACGCGATTCCGGGTGGTTTGTGGACCTTAACGGTGAAGAAAGTTGTGAATGTACCAGATACTTCTAACGGGCATCAAACATCAAACTGCGACGGCGCACATCACAGTGGTTCGCTAACCTGAAGCGAGTGACCGAAGCTCCTGGTGTTGTTTTGAAATGCTTGGAGAAAACGACATTTCAAGTTGAGACTACATTGTGTACTACGATTTGCTGCGCTTGTACCGATGGCCAGGTTTCCAACATCGAAGCATAAGCCAGAATTGTTGCATGAGGAACACGTGTGCGCCCGGTCCTGATCTACGTTCTAATTACGATAGACTAGTGTTTCCATCACACCATAGTTAACCAACCGTATGAGAACGAGAGTTAGTTATATTCTTACTTAAGTAGTTTAACCCATGGTGTGTTTAAATTAGTTCTTGGCGCGTTATGGACCATGCAACGCACAGACGGGTCGCTCGTTTCTGTGTAGTAGTTCGTCGGACTCTTGTGCGCAGTGAACACGAACGTCTTCTCATCCAGCTACCTGTTGATCAGCGTTAGACCATGTAGTTCGGAGCTACGTTCACACTTGAACTGGATGCAAGCCTACCACATTATGTCGATTATCATACGTATTCCATAAATTACTTTGCAAAATAAATTATCGGAGGTTCGGAGGATTTTGAACTCGAATCATTTTTACGCGAGTTCGTATTGTCGCGATCTTACCCTCTTGACGCAAGAAGTTTTTCAAGTCAGGTGGTATACGGTCGATAACGCTGGTAGATCCACACATGAATATTTTTGCATGCTCGTCTGGAACCTCCTTCGAAACCCATCATTGAAGAATTCATACACCTCAAGCTGTATGTCTGTTCACACTGACAGCAGACTCCGTTTGAGGCGCCTTGATACCAGTGGAGTGAATTCGTGGGTGTACCAATCAGCAATCGTTTACAGCAAATGTAGTATGCAATGTGTCGACCGATTCTCTCCATGAGTATTTTGGACGAAATTCTGGCTGAACGGATGAAACACTAATCTCATCGCATTTATCCTAGGGCGATATACCTATAGGTCCGCCTTCGCTTATCATTAGATGTCACTCGACTCCATCAAATGCGTTGATTGATGAGATCGACTTACTCAACTCTTTTACTTCAACCAATCTAGATGTGGCATTCCAGACGATTCCGATGTGAGGTTGAGCAGGTAAGGTGTGACCAAACTTGACAGATAACGCGCTGCGTCCAAGCAGCCCGTTTCATCGGAAATCCATTCTGATTTGGATGTTTACTCGGTCACATGTGGGCACATACGCACGCGCACTCCCGCAATCTCCACTTTTACAGTGGTTGAAATCAGTTTATTAGTTTGATTAGTTCTCCCTTATCCCCCCCATATCCTCATGTCGAGCTACATAAGCTTATATGCGTACGCATATATAGATGTGCCTGTAAGTGTGTGTGTGTGTGTGTGTATGTGTAACCTCTTGGCGAGCCTAGTTGTGTATGCTTGAGACAGAGTCCATACACCCACAACCGTGTAAGCATCCGGGTGTGAGTGGCAGCTTATCAAGACAGGAAGTCATAGCCGCAGAATTGCTGGGCGGTGGTGGTGGTGATGCGGCCACGACGAACTGCTGATGGATAGGTGGTTGAGCTGATGGATAGCTGGGCCAGTGCTACTACCTCTACACTGTCCCCGTTAGTTTTGCCGTGATAGTAGCAACAGTGGTGGTGGTGATCGGGTGGCGGCCTTGATAAAATGATAAGAGGGCTTCCAAACGGAGTCGTATTACTCTACCATTTCGGTGGACAAAACAACAAGGGCGGGAACTAATTGGCAACGTGTATAGCCAGGCATCGGTGTGCGCACACGGAAGGTCGACACTTTCAATAGTATCTGTACTGAACAGGCAGAATACGTACCCAGGAGTCTCGCGGTGTGTGTGTGTGTGGGTGGGTGTGAGCTCAACTGCCACCTTGAGCTTGAACATAGCGGACCGAGCAACTTATTTTTGCCTCCACATGCGCGTGTGTGTGTAAATACGCACATACACATACGAACGTTCGCGAACGCGCTCATTTGGTTAGACACTTGTAGGAAACCACTCCGGAGGTTAAAGTTATTGGGTATGGAACTAACATGCCCCTGTTGATGGGGGTGGGTAGGACAGCCGGAGTGTTGATTGTGAACCAACTAGCCCGGATATGCAGAAGTGTTTCTTGTCATGAAATTAATGACAGCTCAGTTATTGCAATGCGATCTTGACGGGCGCTTTCTCGCTTCCCTCCGCTCACTCCGTGTCCCAGTGTGTGTAATTTCTTCGGGCTGGACACTGCGCTTGTTAAGAAGGGACGGAGGCTTATTCCCGAAAGACTCAGCGAAATATGACTGATTAGATATATGATTGTTGCGAAAGAAGAAACTGAGAGTGAACGAAAGTAAAGCTTTAAATGTGGTGGGCCAGTGGGTATATATTTAAATGGCCTTAAAAGTGAACGGTGTGTTGGAGGACCATTTTGCCAGTATTTAAATGGATCTACCACGAAAGCCTCTATCTTAGCGTCAGAAGTTCCGACGCCAGTTCTTTTCATCATTGTCTACAAAGTTGTCGGTTCACCTCATGTTCACCAAAGAGGCTTAAACAACTCGGGTGAACAGCTTGAGTGTTCTGACGCTGCAACCATCCTCTCTATGAGGCTGTTGCTTCGCGAGTCTTCATATTCATAGAGATAGATGGCAGTGGACGAATGGTGTTTTAATGTATCATACTTTGTTCACATGCGGGCACTGTTGGAGCATGCAGTGTGCACTTAGCAACCGTACAGTGTGTGTGAATCGCTCCAATTTTCCAAGGGGCATGTAGGCATTCTGGACTGGCCATCTCTAGGGTGAATTGGCACCGCCTCACACCACATTACACCGCGGCGTGAGGGATGATCGTGTACTTTCCAGGAAAAGAACGAGCGATGGGTTGTACTCAACATATACGGAGCACTCCATGGTGCGGTAATTTGCCATTGGCTGTTCTTTGGGCTCCCCAGACAGACAACATAGCACGTTTGATTTTTTAACGTATCGACTAAGTAGCTGATTAGTAGGACTGATTAATTAATATTACAGTGATGCTCCTGTACATATCTACGGGAGGTAGATGGTAGTTTCATGAGCATCCCCCGATTGTCAGTACTATTCGAATCTTCTATCGCATTCAGCTTCCATCATGTTGGGTACCGCGCAACCTGGGTCCATTGGTGTTTACAAATGGGAGAAATGCGCTTCCCCATGCGTATTCCTTGTTTTTACTCATGTCAAGAATAGAACATGAGATCCTGCTAACCATAATGGTTCAATTGAAGGAGGATTGCGATGAGACACAGGTGCAGATGAAAATACTCTGGCTGCCGAAGCAGGGAGAAAACATCCCCTTCTAAGCCCCTCGTTCGGTTTCTGTGACACAGCTGCGTTGCTTTTGTTCCTTAGACAGAGCAGTCGGAGCACGTCAAAGTGGCATAGAGCGTACCACAAATTCATCTTCGGAACATGACCCTACCCATCAAACGTCTGAAGAACATAACCACTTACGGATGTTAAATGGATCACATAGAAACGCATGTCACCCCGAATCATGAAGCATCAGCCCCGTGGGTCCCGGTATACTCGACCAACAAGGACCGAGAATTCAATGATTTGTGGTCCGTGACTATCCAACGGGTTGTGCACGCATATCGCAAAGACAGCGTGTGATCGCCTCTTTTTTCTGCTGTGACAATATTTACTCATTCTGAATTCGATAACCAGGCATATTGAATGAATGCTTAAGTAAATACCATCACGTACCCGTGCGAATGAAGGTGGACACGGGTTAGAAAACAGTCGCAGGTCTTATGCAGGTGCACTAGTGCATCACACAAAAACTTTACACACTCTCGTTTCAGCCATCCGTTCTGTGAATATACCCAAAGCAATTGTAACCGATTCACAAAACAATCTCGCGGTATTGAATGAACAGGGTCGTGCATAAATAGTTACATATTAATCATTTATCGCCGGTACCCACGGTTTTACTACACACAGGCAGGCAGGCAGACGGGCGGGCGGGCGACTGCGCACAAACCTGCGGGCTGGTCAGTGACAGTTTACGCTATCCACCACCGGTCGACAACACAGTTGCTCAGCAATATTTAGCGTCCATGTACGCATGCGCACACCGCCGGTGGTTGATGTGACCGAAACGGACTGTTATCAAAACATGCAGTATTTGTGTCTTCGCAAAACCGTCAGTTCAGATGACCTGAACATCTCAGAGCTTAGAAAACGTATGCGCTAACGGGTAGTCTGTTGGCGCGCCCTCGAGTACGTTCGCTTTAGACAGAATATCCTTGTCACTGATGTGTAAATATCATGGAGCATGTATCATAACGTCATTTTCCTATGCATACGATTCCAGTTACTTTACTGTGCAGTAAAAGTGTTTCGGTTGATTTTACCAATAGCCAATGGATTGATGGGGAACGACGGGGCCTCTTCGCAATGGCTGAACGGGGTCTTTGCCAATCAAGTCAACAAACAATCCATTTTTGCCACCAAGTCCAACGCAAAGCCACCAGAATGCATTTACCAATCTGTGTTCAAACCTGAGCTATTTGCGCACCCCACAGCGACAGTGGCGGCAGCCACCATGGTCCCGCCAAACTTTTCGCCAGTGAGTGGTAACTTCAGTATTTTCCCCTCTCCGTATGCCTCGCTGCACCGGACTGCTAGTCAACTTGATCCGAACTTAGCCAACTGCGGTTCAGGTCCTGAGGATGCGTTGAACACGAACCGGAGCAATCTGCAGTCATCTCCGGTCAACGCTCATATGGGGCCGACGGTATCAAAATTAGCCAAATCAGACGCATTCCACTGTGTGCAAGCAGCCGAGCCGGATCACCTAGGAAATCACCCATGCAAACCTTACAAATCCACCCCATTTGGGCAAAATGTCATCAAATCCGTATCCGAGTCAATTTCAGCCCCGCTGAATGTAGACCTACAAGGGAATACTGCTAACGGGATAGTTCACAACACATTACGCAAGACAAGGTCAGATATGAAGGTCATCCACCGATATTTGATGCAAGTTAAACACGACACACGTGATATCCATCTGATACCTCATTACGAACTGGATCAGTATATTCAGGTAAGTATGAATACCTGACGAGTTGTAACTACCTTTCCCGTGAATGTGCTTTTTCTATCCTATGTTCTGGTTACCATGTGGTTCTAGTGTGGCGTCCTTCACCGGCGCGAATTGTTTTTTATCTGTTCACTTCCGATCGGGTTATCTCACACAGGATGAACGTAAATCACCTGGACATATCTGTTAGCACATCCTGGGAAAAGCAAGAAACGCCATAGACTGGTGCATGTTGAGTACAGCGTCAGCTAAAACACTGCGGCACCGGTAGCTCCATTTTTCTGAGAGGATCTGCTGTGACATGTCCCGACCTCCACCGTAACAAGAGTATTGATTGAACATACCTACAGGTTACTCATCACATACAGCGTCAACAACTCACGGAACATTTTGCAGTAAAGCTAGAAAACCTTCGACTTTAGATGCACGGGATTCATAACTCACTTCATTTAACCTAACGTGCACCTCCTGTTGATAACTGGCGATAGTCTAAGGACAGTTAGAGTGGAGACAGCGTGGTGGTTGGAGTGCGTTGTGTGGATTTTCCACGGTACACTATTGCGGGTGAGTGATTGCCATTGTATGCGTAGGCGGTTGGGCAAAACCACACAGAGATCTCAGTCGAAAACGAGGAATGTTCTTTACAAAAGTGTGGTACGACACTTCCGGTTACTTGACCTCACAAGAATGGTCGCAAGTGACCTACACGAAATCCCCTTGCGTCAGGCAAGGAGCGCATGAGGTGAAACTAATTGCTGACTGTCCCCTCTTTTCGCTTCACTCAGCGATGGATCAGTGATCTGACATAGTTCAGCAGATGCCTACCCCCATCCAGAGCTGACTTTGCCTTGGCGAACAGAATTTTCACATGCTGAATGGGTACAAGCACTTACTGGATAGGATCAGGGCACAAATTGCCAGTTTGAAAGCGGGACCCATTCTCAGGAGAGCGATGTTGCAGCACAGAGGTTGGTTTGAGGTAACTTGTCGACGCGTATGCCAGGTGAATATCACCAAATCCAGTGAGTAGCTTGGTGTCAGCAATGTGAGATGGGTGTAGGTGGACCTCAAGAAAGCCGAACTGGTGTCAGTGATTAACTAGATGGCACTTATTACAAACGGAGCCTTACCGCGTGTGGGTACAGGAGATGGAAGTGAAGTCGATGGAGAGATGTAGGCCTCTACTCGAATTCGAATCTCGCATCGTAGGGAGCAGGCTGGACGATACTCATATTCGCACTTACGGGTTTAAAAATTGCGAGGGTGGGGACGGTAGTACGAGGCACTCATGTTGCATACACCGCACTTGTTATGCACAGCCGTACCACTCAAGGCATACCATGAACGTACCGTTTACCCTATTCGTTTCGTTACAATGGTCCAAACCAATAGCGTGTTTCCTCCAAATAACAGCGAAGTTGACCCCATTGCAAAGGCCGACTACGAGAGTTTTAGCACCGAATCAACGAGCCTTGTGGGAGCTACAAGAGAGGCAAAGGTCCAGTTAAGTTTTTTTTATCTCAGTCAAAATATCGAGAACTGTGAAGTACACAACTTTGATACCCCCGAGGGATCTAGCCATGGATAAACACGCGACTGGTCCTTGACGTTAAGCGGTAGACGCAACGACAGCATCAGAAACCCAGTTTTCAAGTATTCTCTTGTCTTAGCTATCACCGTTTACTGAGCGAACCATAGTGACATCCACCACTACAAATTCATCTCACGACAGCTATTGTGACCAACATAGGCCAATCACAATCACAACCGAGTTGGAGCTGCTGAGCTACTGCTTTCTGCTGCTAAACATCAAGGGGTTAGTAAAAGAAACTCAGATACCTTACCCATTGCTACACAGATGTTTTAATCCCTACCACTTGCAGGACTTCGTGCTGACGGCTAAAAAGAAGGACGGCCATGAATACGAGCCAGAATCCCTGAAGGCATTTGTGCATTCTTTGGAGCGCCACTTGAAAGTAAGTTTTTGTAAATCGGATCGCATACGATTGTGATTGATTTGTGCCTAAATTCTTTCATTATTGCAACCAGTATCTGTAGTTATTCACAGTGTGTTTCAAGTGAAGAATAGAACTTGCGCCGTTCTGTACGCAATCTGAGAGATTCCTTCTCTGAGGCTGCACGAAAACTCAACGCTAACAAAGCAACATGGGTTCGTTTCACATACGAATACCAAGCACATCAGCCTTGGGAACGCACGTGCGAGAGAGGGTGATTTGATCGGGTCACATCTCTCCCATTGGTTCACCACGAATCGAAGACGAAGATATTTCTTGAGGAATACGAATTGAAAGGAAACATACGTGAACCAATATAAAGGACCTGGGTTGTGTACAGTTGAACTGATGGATCGGTTGGTGGAGCGAAAACTGCTGTGCTCTTAAAACTGGGGTCACTTGGAGAACGGAGATGGGGTCATAATTGGGGAGTAAGGTGAAGGAAAAGCTGAAAATTATGAAAAATCGGTATTGCAACCACTTTTAAATCGATATTGAGAGTGTTTGAGGGTGTTTAGTCACTAATCGACAGCATAATAATAGCATAAAACAAAGCCTAGTGAACCCATGTACTCGAGCAGCTGGATTATGAGCAGTAGCTTACCAACTCCCTCATTCGCCGTGTTCCATTCAACGGTGAAAAACACTAACAACTGTCCGATTAGTATGAGCAGATGTTCATCATATCTAGATTCAGTCAGACCACCATCGCACGCCCGAGAAATATTGTCCGGCCGTTTCATTCGTCCAGCAATCGTCGATAGTGCGCATTCCATCTGGGCTCCTGTGACGCTAGAACCTGCAAACACTGGGCTACGGGGGACGGTAACGACCGAAGTGACTAAGTTGCTTTATCTGATGTAGCGCACTCACTATCCACCGACTTGCATGTTACTACCGTGCAGAGGATAGAGTAGCTTCCTCAAGTTTGTTTTTCCCCCAGTCAGAGTTTACGCGATTCACTCAGGACAGCCCATGATTACCCACCGGTCTCCTCATTTGCTGCACACCATCGGCACAGGCATCCCGACTTGATTTGTCCGCCTTGGGTGCGCGCCCCAGCTGTTTGGCCATTGCTACCACAATTTATGCTTCTGTGGCCATTCGAACGAAAATGATCAGGACGATCAACATGTAGTCCCAGCCTATACGAGGCGTTATAGTGGCAATCAAGCTGATCGGGGAGCACCAACGTTGTAATGGGTCACAAAAGTGCCCTCAGTGACCAAGACCAACTCGATCCGTTTTTCTGTGGCCCACGGTTCCAGACGGGTTTACACGGCGTAGTTTAGTAGCACAACAAAAGTCGCTTTGGCGTATGTTGTCATTATGACGTGCGCATTTAACACTAGGCTGTTGAGTGCAGTTATTCTTCACGACTGCCATTATCCAACATAATATCCTCCCGGGGACAGCAAAAACGATCCATTATTGGGTCTTTAACACCGTCAACTAACTTTCATTGTCTTAAATATCCCACTCGCTCCCTATACCGGGTATCCGAATACGGTAATGATTCATTTGGCTGACACTGTATTCGGCGAAGTAGAATCACGCAGACGCCAGATGGCCTGACGTATCAAGAGGACCACCGTCGGTAGCTTAGTCGTGGAGTCGACAAACCAGTGATGGATTCCGTTGCTTCCATCTCTCATTACTTGCTTTCAGGTGCTTCATATTTTCACCATCCAGTATGTGTGATAATGTTACATGTTTGGTTTTCTGCGTTGGTGGGTTATTTCCTCAGTCAAACGCGATTTCTACTCTTCTTTATGACTATGCAATTTCGCCGTCTTGAGTAGATGGGATTCACCGTTCCTCATCAATGCACCGGTAACCTCTAGACGAGGAGCGACCGGCCAACAATTTGCGGTTTCGCACACGTAACCGCTTTCAACATGGTCAGTTTTACATCCACCTTACCTAATACCAAACCTTGATCTTGGTCACATTCCAGTAATGAATGCCATTTTCTTACAATGTCTCTCTGGCTCGGGCCACCCCGTTGGTCATTGGCCGGCTCATTACCTCCTTTTCGAGGATCCTGCACGCAAAGTTAACTCGCTCTTCAGGAGCTTTGAACGAGCATGCATGATGTAATTTTCTACGGCCACCATTGCGGGTGACTGGCACGCGGAGCGATATGGACATTATGGGACGGCAGGACTAGGTGGGCCGCATCGATTCAGGCGGCCGATTGTGTCCACTTCCCCAACGTTTAGTCTTGAAAACGCGCCCATGCAGGATTAAGCGCATGGAGCAAGCAGTCACGCATAGGCCTGTGCACTGCACTGAAACTGACAATCATGCCTTGCACGTACTTCGTAGAACGGAAAATGCGTTCATTTGCGTAAGGCATCAACAGTACGTCAGCACCTCGGGGCGACGCTTCGCTGCCGCGCGACCATCACCAGCCGCGCAAGGACGGACTATACCTTAAGGTCAGCCGCACCTACACGGACTTTATCCGGTGACCTCAGGATCACAATGCAGGCGCGCAGTGGTTTCGGTCATCGGCCGACGTCGGTCCGGTCAAGCTCGTTAACGAAGCAGACGGATCAAACGACAATGCAGTCAGGTGTTTGCCTTGTTTTGAAAATCGGAGGGAGTCGCTTGCGCAGCCATGTCATGGTTCGAATGATTGAGCACATGCTTGTGTGTACTGAACGAGTTAATCCGCTATAGACTGGAGGACCTTTGGAGACGCTTATTGGGGTTACAATCCACGATAGCATAGAGTGCACCAGTCTCGGAATCAAAAATGCTGACAATGTGGAATGCAGTGCCTTAACTAGCGTACCCAGTTTACAGAGTATAAGGGTGGCTCCGCCTAGAAAGAAGGTAATATTTTACTCCACGCCATATCATATCGGGTCTCCGATGCTGTACTAATAACAATACTTGAACATTTGGGCCCAAAAACCCATCCGTGACGCCGTTATTTCTGGATACATGCCACCGTAGGGACGGCAAAGCCCACGTTTACCTCAAGGATCGACGTACTGAAGACGTATGGTGGATGGCAAACTAGGAACCAGAACTTCACATACACTAGACGATAGAAGGCCAGTGTTATCGCTTGAATCAAAATGAACGCTGTGCACACACAGACCTTGTTACATTACTTCGGTACACCCTCTCTTTGGCCAGAAGTGTCACCTCTCGCGGTGATACTTTACACGGAGAAAGTTCACCCGATAGCGACACTCTGCACATCGATGCAGATGCATCCGCTGCTAGCCAGGTATCCAAAGGAACAGGAGAAAACTCAACTGAACAGCAAAATGATTGACATATAGATCGCCGAGTATCTGTTATCCGGAACATGTGAACAGAGGTTTGAGCGCGGAGTAGTTATATTAAGCGGTTTTGCCGACACACCTAGACACAGCATCATGATGGCTGTGTCGAAAGACGATTGTTCCAGCTTGGTGACGCTCGTTTTGCGCGTCTACGATGGTCCTCACTGGTATATTTGGGCACATGTACTTGTGCACAGTCTGAAAGTTCACTGGTTAAAATTAAGGGTACTGGAAGCTAGTTGCTCGTATGTGCAATGTTTGACCCGGAATGGTGTCACGGCAAAATGGAGGCAAGATGTGAATCACGTTCCCGTATTGTGGTGGTGGTGGTGGTGATGATGATGATGCGAAGCTCAGACATTCGAGTTGAAGGAGAGACGTGGGCTAATTATTATCCAACGTTCATACTGTCCACCCAGACGCATAGCATGTGACATAGTGCCTGCAGCGATGCTGATAGAAGGTGTCGCTTTGACCACCCGGTGGAATCCACCAGCTTTTCGAACCCGTTCTCTTTCGCACGGACATATGGCTTCCTGAAGATAGTCTGACTTATCCGTGGCATATAGAGGAGAATACGTACACACGCGTATGCTGCATGCGCGTTGCACATGTGTAATATGTAACGATCAGCATGACAACCTGTGTGTTGCCTATTCGTCGTCCACCTTCTCCTCTTTACAAAAGGTTTAAAATCATTATTGCATATTCCTGTGGCATTTTGCCAGGGCACACCCATTTTTTAGACACCAACGCTACCAGGTGGATAAATTGAATCGGAGATGAGGTGAGCCAGCCATCGGGTTTCGCGAGGTGCTGCAGCACTACACTGGCAGTGACACTTATACGTGCTACACATCGGCGGCTGGACGCATGTACAAACAACGAGTGGTTTGGGGCGAGCGCAAATACACTCGTAACGTCGTCGGTATTAGTGTCCAAACTTGCGATAGGCACTACTGAACTGGAACCTCTTGTAGCTTCTGGACCCGACACCTAGCTATCGGCCGATAAACCATACTTCCGCAGCCGCCACAACCATAGAAAGAATCGTCAAGAATCGTGTTACTTAGTTTCTGACATGACAAAATCTAGTCAACAGTTCACGATACAGGTTCAGTACAAAATGTTCCTGAGTCACATGCCAATTACAATTCCTTGATCATGCCACACCAACAATTGATGGTCGCATGGCCATCATCATCATCATCAATCTAGATTTACAATAAGCGTTTGACTGCGTTCCGCACAAACCACTGTTGACCGTGATTGGGTCTTATTTGATCAACAAACACGAACACAAAGAGTACGTATGGGTCAACAATGTTCTGCTCCCCCAAATGTCCCTAAAGGTGTCATTCAGAGGAGTGTATTGGGTCTATTACTGTTTCTCATTTACATAAACGATATGATTATATTAGACATGGGTGCCTATTTTGATTTGCGGACAACATCAAACTAATGTACTCATTTTCAACCGATTATCCGTAGCTATGCTTAAGATATATACGCGTAGATCTATGATCGCTAAACAAATGGAGTGAAGGCCTATGAGGATTTCGGCACATAAATCTCGGCTGGTTCGCCACGGATGCATTAAACCAGAACGATCCATCTCTATTACTAATACCCCCATCCCAACCACGCATTCCATTCGTGGCTTGGGAATTCAATACGCTAGCAGCTTTAGATCCTTCAAACACTCCCTACATTAAGTAGCAAAGACAAAAATGCTAAGAAGCTATGTCACTAGGTCATTGTCACCATCATAAACACCGCTTGATTAATTCAAACTCATAGTGCGACGCCCACTAGAAGATTGCACTATCATACATAGTCATCTACGGAAGACAGCTAGGATTGCCTTAGAATTCGTCCAGCGCTCACTTACCAAAATGGTCATGGTGCACTCGTCAGTGCTTACTCATGAGGAATGTTGTGTTTACCTCTAGCTTGAACCACTCTGGTTTCGACGGTTGCAAAGCAATCCCGTTTTTGTCAACAGTATACTACACTTGTGAGTCTTCTCAGCCAGTACGGCGGTCACCTTACACAATGGCTCAACCTATCCCACCAGTAATGGGAACTGTCTACTATTCTTACAGAAGATCAATGGAAATATTCGCTTAAAGTTCATCCTGGTGAGGTACGCCAATTTGTCTAACACTCTACCCTGGCAACTATAGACCAGCGAGAGCCTGTTCACATTTAGATATTATCTAAAAACTTTTCTTTCCATGCCAAATTTAGTCAAACTTTTCGGTCTTCAGAATGAGTGCACTCGTGGGGTCCGGTTCAGAAAACTTATAACAACACACATTTTCCGCTAACATATTACTTGTTACATATTCCACAAACCATCGCATGGCTGATCCATATTAGACACAAGTTCATACATGAAATGCTGACGAAACTCGCTGTGCAAATGATCGCTCCACAAAAGGGAACGCTCCAGCGCGTCTGGAAATATACCCATCTGTTTTTTAGTTAATATATCTAACATTGAGTATAGTGCTGGTGGGCTAACCGGCAGGGTGATAAGTGATTTGCTGGCGAATAGGGGATGCACATTGCTCTTTCAAATAACGGTCTCCCCATTGCTTGCTGCTCAACCGTAATTGTGATCAGGCCACTGCGACCCCGGCTCGCTGGTACGTACCCCACACGATCAGTAAAATTTTTGTTACCACACTGGGGACCCATAAAACAACACGACACTGACAGGATAGCAGTGGTGCGCGATATCTCATGTCTGTCTGTGGCGCTTCAGCTCCATTCCGGTCTCTGGTGGCAAGAGAACTACATCGTACGTCTCGATTTGTCGAATCCTTTGTCCACTCAAACTGAGCATTGACGCCGTGACTTTTCCACTTGATACATAATAACAATAAAGAGATACTTGCATTGCGATTTCATGCGTTAGCACTAAATAAAACAAATACGCACCACGGAAGCGAGTAGAGTATGTTTGACGCTGACCAAATCGTTTGTTTCTCCAAAACTTAGCACCACGACTATCCACACTCGGTGCTGAAGGGAAATGCGTTCGCCGGCACAAGGACGGTGCTCAATCAAAGACTTAGTGAGTTGCGCGCGCTGAGCCGGTCTGGGAGCTCTACTATGAGCACTCTCAATTCATGCACGGCGGGTGCCAAACGACCTACAGAGCAACCCAGTGTGGAGTCTGCCAGTCTATCCTACGGAACGAAGAGATCGCTGGTGGGACGAACTTTCACTCCAGCAGGTCTGATGCAAGCTGGTCTGCTTGGTAAAGACAATCCACAAGTGAGTCGAAGCAACAATTCATGTGATTCCAGAGAGTTGCGAACAATCGGTTGATTTATTGCTTTGGTAACATTCCGTTTTTGACACAATGGTTACGTCAAAAGTGAAACGTTGCAAGCCTCCATGAAATTATAACTCCTTGATCAGTTTGAGTATATTCCAGGCGTTTGAATAGTTCAGGTTATTTTCCTGTTGATATTATTGACACTAAATCGTCCCCATTGACAGAGATGTTGATAGGAAGACAGGCCATATGACCTCAACCGGACTGTCGCCAGAAATCCGCTGTCAGTTACTCTCGAAATTTGTACTGCTCCGGTACCCTTCAACAAGAGGAACACATGGGTACTGGACTGAGAGGTTAACCGTAGATCCCCCAATAAGGTTAGTTTGCCGAGTTTGACGGTTAAACCAATCCCTACCACTCAACCGGAGCTAGTGAAATCAGATTTTTACACATTGTGCTGCTATACAGTTCTCCATTCGGAAAGTGGATCCTGTGTTCCGGACCGGAACTCAAGTCTACGGCATTTTACACTCTTGTCGATTCAATTGAGATACAGGAGGTTGGTTAGCAAGTCAATCTTTTTCAATAGGTCCATACTGATATCAGAGTGGTCTACCAGTAAAACCTGAAACTAGTCCTACGAAATCGCAAGGGAAGACTGGATGTTTTAATGTTGAAACTTAGGAGACAACGTGCCATGGTGGTTCCTTCTCCTTAGTCCATTGAGCAACGTTAGCTGGTTCACTACCTGGAATTTATGGATCGCGCATCATTTGGATGGGAGGGTAGGCACCATTCTTGTTCACCCGAACATCCAGGTCGGGAGCCCAAAGTTCGGTCTGCATCACTAAGGCATGCACCATGTTTACAGTCTGCGGCCATGTTCCGAGCGGATGTTTTGGATTTTGGCTTCTAATCGCATGGGCTGTTTGGTTGATACTTCAGCCAAACTACAGCCATAACTTTGTTAGGTTTCGAGGAAAAAATGGGATGTGCTTGGAATTCGCTTGCTCCATTTTCACTTTTTTCCTTCGAAGCCACAGAATGTAGTTGTAGTTTATGCAAAGATCCAAGGTGGGTAGCGCGGTCTCTATCTGCGGGGGTTGATGGATCTGGACTATCCGAATGACACCTTCCTCTGGTCGCTATTTGAAAGGCAGCAGCAGACGATCTTCTGAATATCCTACAGCAGTGTCGCCCGTCAATTCCCACCAAGTACTTCTTATATTCACCGTGCTGACATGGGACCATCCTAAAACCGATCCCCTGCTAATCTTCCAATACATTTGACACATTGTACCATTTCACGCGGTACCACGAGTAAAGCGGCTCTTGATGACCTTTGGTGCATGTAAACAGTTTGTCTTAGTTTCGAAACCAATGCATTTGAGACCGTATGGCAGTTATTCGGGGAAGGAGAGCTGCCAAGATGGGGGATGGCTGTACCGCGACACTGTCAGCTACTTAGTTCATCGTATTCTAGCAATACGAGTCACTGTGTGCCAAATTTGGGCCGCGGGAACGCACATAACTGGCGTGTCCCAAAAGAATGAGGTAAATGCCCAGTTCCTTCCCAGATGTTAGCAGCTTTTAACCGGATCAATTTGGGGCTAGTTCAGTTCAAAACCACATAATCTCCATAACACATTGCTAGCAGCACGAGGAAGACAGTAATCTAGCTGCGAGATTGTGATCGATGTATCAAATGGAGTCGATAGACCTTATTATGCAATGAGAGTCTGCCACTCATCAAATGCCCGGCTCTTGGAGTATCCTACCTCTGTTCAACCCCGGTTTCCTGCTCTTACCCGAATCACTTGCTCAAACTGCATTTGTGTTTGCTGTTTTCTTGCTGAACTAGGATCAGATAGGGTGAGCGTTAGACCTTCCTTTCCAGGATGGCCAACCTTTACGTGTCATCTGCTAGAGGTTGAACCTTGCTATCCTTCTAACTCTGCAGGGAAAACTGAGAGACAATGTGACAGTATATAGCTCTTATATTTTGGTCAGTGAATTGATGCAGTTGTTAGAACACTATCAAGCGACGTTTTCGAGTTGGGATGGAGTACATACCTACCGGTGGAACCCCCCAAGTAAATAATGAGGCTCCATTTGAGTGTTGATCAGCGCCAAGCATTGTGTCCTGGCCGAGTGAAAATTTGGGCTTACTGGTGGCTCGCTTAGCCATTGTAGATATGATGCTAAATTGTGCTCTTGTTGAGTCACAATAGGTGCACTTTAGTTCTTACCTCAAAACGGTTGCTAGGACATTGAGACCGCTGCACGGTGACTTACTGCAAGTAATGAGGAGGAGGAGGTTAGGGTTCTGAACAAAAGTTACACGAATCTGTGGGGCGTGAGCGAACAGCACAATGCTGAGGTGGGATCACTGTTTTTGTATGAATCGCATAATAGTAACTGTGTGTTAAGAGTATTTATAAGCATCTGTTTGATCACTGATATCAAAGAGGAACCACACGGGTTGGGCGCACCTGCCGGTATATTGATGCTAGTTCAACAACATAGTGGTATTGTGTTCAGCTGTTTGGTAAACCAAGCTTGCCTAGGCCGATCAGGTCGCATCGCCCAAGTACCTGCCGCTTTCGCTCGTTGGCATGCCTTTTTCTCCACAAATTCGCTTGACCGGTTTGGTTCCATGATGGTCAAGCGATGGTATAGCGCCGAACCGTGAAGGAGCGGCGAAAGGACATTTATTTCCATGAATTGGAGCATTAAGAACGCAGGTTGAGGCAACACGATCCAGGAACCAGCGGTACTGAAGTATCATCTCATGCACCCCCGGCTTTCTTTCTCTTAGCCTAACCCATCCATCTCTTCAATGTGTAGTTAACAAACTTATTTTCACATGCTTGGTTGTTTTGCAATTGCAGGTCATGAGATGGGGAGCAGGTTGGTCCACCAAAGTTCGACGTTCAGATCAAAATCTTCAACGAATCACGGGCAATGCTGATTTTCAACACAGCAAATATTCCCATTGTAATCAAATGAATCAAGACCAGAAAACAGTTCAGGGTTAAGATATCTTTTCGGTAAAATCTCGTCAGACCCAAACTTTTACATGACACGGATTATGTGGGGTAAGCGTCAAATCGGGCTGGGATTGATTTCTAAGGTGTTTGAAAGGTCAAGCTCGATGACTAAAGGTGGCTACAGATGGTAGGAAAAGTGCATCAAAGGAAATTAATACAAGCTTCAGGGCCTAAAGTAAATAGCTAAGGTCACAAAGGGTAGTTAAGTAACCATGTCAGTCGGCCAAGGTAGTAGTATCGGCCGTCTGAATCGTTTGTGTACGCATAATTCCGGCTTCAGATGATGGATGTAAATAGCCTCGGCGATAGACAAGATTTGCTTTCGGAAGCCTTGTGATAAGCGTTCAGGTAGTGAATAGATGACTTTAAAGTCATTCTCAGATGCAGTATGGCCACTTTCGAGGAGGTGCGACATGATTGAGCTGTCTGAGACCCTCATTTCGCCTTTGTAAAACCACGCCGGGATGTGCTCGCGAATCCTCTGGGATAGACGTCTCGTTGTGCGACCCACGTATCGTGCACCACAAGAGCACGAGTACTGATAAACGAGCATTGAACGGGTCAACGATGGCAGACTATCTTTCAAGGGTTTTGCAAGCAATGGTTTGTTGTGGTAAACAATTCTTAAGCGGGCTGCGAAATAAGTTTTCTCAACAGCATCAATCAAACGTCGAGACAGGATATCAGCTGCAGTATCGCCCTTAAATGGTAAATGTATGAACAGCTCTTTCTTGGGAGCAATGCTTCTAGGTGGCTTTCGCTTGCGTTCTTTCATATGCTTCATGATAAACTTATCGGGGTAACCATTTTCCCGAAGGGCGTCGCTAATTCTCTGTAGCTCTTCGTTGACGGTATCCGGAGTGCAAATACTGCGCGCCCTGAAGGCAAGAGATCGGATTAAACTCCTCTTGTGCTGTAAAGGCACCGCGCTGTGAAAGTTAGTGTACTGTCCAGTCCACGTATGCTTTCTGTGTACCTTTCTGCTACATGAGCCGTCCGAATTGCGGCTTCGGTTTACAAAGGCGAAATGAGGGTCTCAGACAGCTCAATCATGTCGCACCTCCTCGAAAGTGGCCATACTGCATCTGAGAATGACTTTAAAGTCATCTATTCACTACCTGAACGCTTATCACAAGGCTTCCGAAAGCAAATCTTGTCTATCGCCGAGGCTATTTACATCCATCATCTGAAGCCGGAATTATGCGTACACAAACGATTCATACGGCCGATACTACTACCTTGGCCGACTGACATGGTTACTTAACTACCCTTTGTGACCTTAGCTATTTACTTTAGGCCCTGAAGCTTGTATTAATTTCCTTTGATGCACTTTTCCTACCATCTGTAGCCACCTTTAGTCATCGATCTTGACCTTTCAAACACCTTAGAAATCAATCCCAGCCCGATTTGACGCTTACCCCACATAATCCGTGTCATGTAAAAGTTTGGGTCTGACGAGATTTTACCGAAAAGATATCTTAACCCTGAACTGTTTTCTGGTCTTGGTTCAGATCAAAGTCAATTCATCTCAAGTAGATCCCGTCAGACGAATATCAAGACGGGTGTTGGACCACACTATACCAGAGATAGTTACGTCGTTTACCGGCATACGTCGTGGTCCGGAGGTTTAACCTTCTACTTACAGAGTTGGATCATTGTTTAGAATAGGACCGCGCTTCTTGAGAGCTCGACCGATGGGCGGTATGGCTGGTTGATCTGTTTGGAAATGCTGAGCCACATCTCGGCAACATTGGCTGTAGTGGGGACGACAAAACCATGTAAAGACACCACACAATGCGGCATGCGAGGCATTCCATTGATGTGAGGCCCAAGTTGGTTGCAACGGATTCGATCTGCCGCTGACTGATAAAGTAAAAATAAGCAGGCATTTGAGTAGAGAGGTCCTTTCGAAAAGCCGGTTGTGTAAATGGATTGGGACGTGCAAGCTCAATGTGAATCGCGATTCACACTGTAATGAGCCTTAGTCAATTCAATAACTGGTGCAGTAAATAAAGCATACGGTATTTGGGTATTGCTCTCCCGAACAGTGCAGTGTTTACGAGGAGGCATAAAATTGATTGCCAAGTGCGCCACTTGTGAGGAAAAGGCTGCATCTTCGAAGCGTCCTCGTGCTACTACCGTTCCGGACACAGGATAGGTGGAGTTTATGATGTTTCAAAACCAGAATAAACGCAGTAGGCTTTTTACATGATCAACACCCACGTCAGCAGGACTGCTACTAGTCTGGTGAATAACTCCATCGCATTTCGGCGGCAGTTGAATTCACAGAATGTCATGCTTACAGGGCCGTTTGAAAGAAGTCCGAAAACAAAAAGCACTCCATCCATAAATAGGGGAGCACGGCTACCTGAAGAACACCAGCCTGCAGTTGGTTCAAACATCGTTAATTCGGGCGAACAACATTTTGTCCAGTTGAATAAGTAGCCCGTTAATCCGAGTGATTGAATTGCATGTCTATACGGCACTCACCCAGTTTAGGTAATCATCTAGGATTCAAGCACCAAGTGTGGTGAAGCCACGATAACCATCAATGATGGTGGGGAGTAAGCGAGAGTGGAGGAATATAGATGAACAGCGAGGAATGGTAACAAACCAGCCAGCGACCAAATGTAAGAGCGCCGCCAGTTACCCAACTGAACCATGTCGAATAGGGTATCATCTAAGAAAACGACGCATACAACCACGGTTTGGCCTTTCTTAAAATTTATTGATTTCCTTTCGTCAACTCATAGAACGGTCACCACGGGAGCGCATCGTATAAGGTGCATAGTACCGACAAAAATACTAGATGAGATAGGCGGTTAGTAGGTATACTACCAAAAACATCGTCTAACCAACGTTAGTGACTGATGTTCAGCAGGTTGTCCAATGCGTTGTTAGAAAGTGGACACCAAACATAATCCGTGGACCCACAGCGTTGATCCGCATCCACCATCCACAAGAGTACTGCATCAGACACACCAGGGACCTGCGATAGTGGCTCTTAACCTCTCCAACAATAAGCCATTTGCATAATGGAATCGACTGCTGCAGCATTACTAATAAGTAGAAGATTTTTGGATGAAAGTTTATTTGATTCGTCTTAGCAGCTCACATGCCCGATAACTCAACACCTCTCCAGCAACAGCACCAGAATGTCGTTTCTCCCTATCGGGGCCTGTCCGTGGTACGCATTCTCTCGTCACCTTCGGGGAAACTAACCCAAGGCCTTGCAACAACTAGCCAGCAGCTAAGACCACTGAGCCATGGGGGACGATAGCTGACCATCATGAGAATGTCTACATGCCAAGTAGTTGGAGATTGTTTGCAGAAAAGTGAACATTTGCTAACTGCAACACATGTGGGAGCATTCTGCTGTGACCATCGAATAAACTCCAGCCAGTGGACAGCATTTGAAGAAGCACGTTTGCCTATCACAAGCGAATCACCAACGTTGATATGTGAGAACCTGTCCATCTGCTTTCAGAACTTATATCAGAAACCTCGTTGCAACACTCCGATGTTTCTTTCACCCTTTGGTCTGACGATTTTCTCGATCTGTGGATACTACCCGTGTAGGCACACACCGAATTCATACAAAATGTTCACTTTAAGACTTCAAATAGCATAAGGGAGCAACGCTGTAACCGGCTAACCTGAATTCAGTTTATCTTAGGAATTCTCGATTGGTCGCATGTATGCGATCAATGTGTATTCGGGCAATCAAATGTCACCGTGAAAGCGAGTTCATTATGAAAAACAAGTCAACTAGAACCCTTCATTGCTTGCACACTACTTTGGATGAAGGTCACTTTTGACATCCGCTAGCCACACATCGAGCTGCACGGGAAGACAACTAGGTTATCATGGTCTATGTTACTTGGAGCATGAACCCAATTTAGTCCGCGTCAAATTTAAACGAACGTACCTAGCTGACTCAGAAGAATAAGTTGTAAAAGAACAATAACACCATTTCCCTCTGAGTTGGCAACGGTTGTCAGCAAAGATTTTGTGAGGCGTGTATATGTAAGAACCAGGTAAAGGAGACAATATGACCCTCAGGAAAGTGCTCATCACACCAGTAGATAAGAGTGAACACTATCAACAGATTACACCAATAATTGCATGAACTTGTAAGGTGTGGCGTAACCCCGACTGCCACCGCATCAAACAAGAATACCGGTAGTTGAATTAAGCACTAGCAGACTGAACGCTTAAGTTGCCGTCACATGTGTTTAGTTAACCGCGATGGTACCAGCAGTTGCGATGGCCGCATATAGCCGAGAATGCCACGTGTAATTCGGAACCCTTCTCGCACAGCTAGCATCGAGGTGTGCCAACTTACCCCATAATCCAATCGCTCGATGCGAATTCAGCTGCACGATGTGCTCAAGCTAGGTTGTAGTCATCGGTGGGCAAGACCGTTCAAGCACGCTTCAGTTTTCTGTGGCTTCCACTATCTGGTGATTGGCTCCGAAGCATGCAGACAACCAACCTCCTGCCCTGTCATCTTCCTAATAAACTTGAGGGTCGTGAATTAAAGGACAGCTACCATAGTTGCTTCGATTTCCTAACTAAGGATATGGTTGATTCCCCACTTTCTGTCTGGTGAATGAACGACTAAGAATATCCGCGATAAATTGAACTCAGGCTATCCAATTGAACGGCTGTTCCTGTTGGATGCATCACTACAATTGCAGAGATTTTTTCTCTTGAATGAACTCGGTGCAGTTTGTCTACTATGCGTCTGGGTGTGAACACAAAATGTTCGTACATTCTCGAAACGATGCCATGATTCTTTTTAATTAAAGTTCACTCATCTGAAGAACTTCTACTTGTCGGTTTTGTAGAAACCACCTAACGATTCTCAACAATTCCATACTCACATGCTCGCGTGACTAGTTCTACTGACTGCATGGCAGTATGCTGCAGCCAAATGGTTAACGAAAGCGAACATAGTACCCCATAGATGTAGGCGTACCATAGGGCGAATCACTATGCTTAGCTTGACCTAGTTGATGCGTATCAAAGTAGTAATTCATATAGTTCCCCTTCTCTTTCAATCGCCTTGGTTCCAGGCAATTCTGAACAGTTTGTGGCTAATGAATCGGACCCAGTTCAACATTGGCGGTACCCAACGTCATCGGAATCTAGTGTGGGGACAGTTCCAATTGGTCACTGACGAAACAGGCACGAAGGCCATAAAGTTCACTCCGTTGTTCGAATCGGCAGAGGTGCGGTACTGCCGTGGATATGGAGGTATCAAAGGATGTAGTTCGGATGTCACAGGCCGTTCTGCAGGATCAATGCAAGCTTTGAGCTGCACCGGGACAGCGAAGAGACAACCACTACCCTTCAATTGTGTTGAATTGTTTGAAATATACGGCAGCCACAGGCCACCTGACGCTTGCGGGGTCTCTGAGCCATTCTACTTATGCCCGGAGCCGCTCTGGGAACAAAACGGAAACTGGTTCAAAACAAATGCTGCTGGCTCGCAACTTTTGGCTCGTATTCCTCGTCTTTTGGGGTTGAAACCAACCAGAGAACCGGTCCAGTCTAGTGCATCTGCGGTGGGCGATTTCTCACAACTGCACAAAGGTCCTTATGAGATTATTCAACATACAGTCAACAGTGCCAAATATGATTCGTCCAGTCCAGGGAACGGTCAATCGCTGTACCCCATATTCGGTGGACAGATGTTCGAGAAGCAATCAGTACAGATACAAAATCAAACACGATACACGTTTCCTACCTCATGCTCTCCACTAGCGCAGAGCTTCTTCAACTTCTTTCCACTAATGTTTCCACCAGGTTCAGACCCCGTGCCAATGTCAACTACTTCCCAGTTCCCGTGCTTACCTCCCCCGAATACCGCTTACTCGGACGTCATGTCAACCGATGCAGGTTCGCTACTGCCAGTGAACGCTGAGAAGGACCACGAGGCTCAGGGACTTATACAGAACAGGCCAATCCGTTCAGAAAAACACGAGGCGGATGAATTAAACCAATCGGATCGTCAGCACTCGAGCGAACAAGCATTTTCGCCGGAGAGGTACAAACGGTCCCCCGGGCAGCAGTCAGGATGTGACGCAGTGGCTGTCAGTTCCAACGGGACAATTTCTCCGACAGACGCAGAAAACTTGTCGCTATCAGGTACCTCTCCGCGAGTGACCGGTTCGGCCCTAGACATAACCCAACCGAACCAACCAACGTCTCGATTGCGAACGGACACAGGAGGAATAATGGGTGGTCCGAATTCGAAGGAAGCCTACAGTCCTCAGCACTCTAGTGATTCGCACTCCTCTCGACCACATTCCGGAGCAAGTAGGTTCAGTCTAGTAGAGTCATCTGAGTCTCTATCGCAAAATGAAAATCATGTGGATGCCGGCCCGGCGCACACATTGGAGCAGCGAACTGAACCAAATCTTCCTAATGAAGCACTCAATTTGACCAGCAGTAAACTTGAGAAATCCAAGTATGTTTGACCTATCAGATCACAGCTTCAACCACAGAAGCTGGCATGTATAACTCTCACAACCAATGTACAGGAAAAGAGCACCGCGCATTTATATACAAAAGTATACAGCATCACAGTAAACACGCACATACTCAACCTTACGTTCTAGTAATTTTTACCCTGAACTTTTGTTTTATAACATGAAACAAGCATGCACGAGACACATCGTATGCTGGATGAAGCGTTGATGTCTCTCTCCATCAGCTGACGTTTTGCACTGCACATACTCTCTGGTTACCCCCTTGACGTTTTGTCCATTCAGATGAAAATATAAAGATCCATATGACACATCACGTATACGTACGCACACATACGTAGTTCACCCTAAACACACATATAAACACTCGCATTCATAAAAACCCGTAAAATGAATTTGAATTGCATTGCAAAGTGAATTTTCTGCCAGTGCTTTCAACAGAGGACGCAGGCGAGCACGAATGCGGTGGAGCTATTGTGCACCAACGCAGGATTGCCTCTATTCCGTTCACGAAATCATTAAACATCAAACAAATCTGATGGTAAATTAAAATGAGCAGTAGGAAGGAAAGGCAGTATGTAATGTGTTTGTTGTCGATTGAGCCGTGTGGATTGTGACCCTTGTTAACACGCAAAGGCCAATGTATTCAGTGTTGGGTCCTGATTGTCGAGATGTGTTTGAAATGCATCAAGAAATCGCAATTCGGACCTGGACGTACTTTGAATCCAGCCTCATTCTCAGATTAGTTGGGCTGTGGTTGAAGCCTATACTGGATGTGGCTCACTCCGAGTACTGCGTTTTATAACCAGCTCTGACCTAGTTTGAATGCTTCGAGTAGGGACGCGTTCACCAACAGATAGGTCATCTTGGCTGCTGAAATGATGTCTGAATCAAGGAAATATTGGTCGGAATAAGTACGACTCACTCCAGATGACGGGGGTGCCTACTTGTCCTGCGGCATCTGCTGTGGGAACGGGGTGTGCTGCCAAGATAACAGCAAACGTTACAAACCATGGTGAGCGTCACTTTAGTTTTCCCTTTTCAGACCGAGCTAGACAGGTGAATCGTAGTTGAACAGCCAACTTAACTCTAGAACGCAGGAATTAAAATAAGGTTCGTTTCGTAATGGTGGTTCACAATGTTTGCAGACACAGTGGACCTTCAGGTGCAACGGCTGCCGTAGTGAAGCTCCTCGACAGCATGGACCAGCCATAGGTATCGGTTTGACTACAATTCCATTGGTTTAAAGGTTGTAGTACCGTTTGAGCACATATACAAGCACAGCTGCAGAATATGTAAACGGGGTCCCGGTTTGAGTGAAGCAACCGAAATACATGCTCGAGTGAAATTACATCTAGGGTACTTGTAAGCGTAGCGAAAACTAACCACTCCACTGTCCTGGTAACGGAGGTGGTACGCAGACAGGTGAATTCTGTAGCTATTCTGGTGACACCGTGGTTCAGCTGACTTTGTCGATATGTTTGTGTCCCAGTATAAAAGACAGAGGCGGTCAAAGTTCATGGCCGGTGTGTTTACCCGGATACAAAGGTCAGACATCGTCGTTTGGCTTTTAGGACTGATCACCAGGGTGCTTTATAGGTGAGCTAGTGTCACACCCGAGTAAGTAGGCGAGGGTAACACTGGCCGAAGCGCCAGATCCTGGAGCCAGCTTTATCACTCGTTTAAGCAAACAGTGGGTCAGCAAGTCAACTTGTGCTTGTCGACAAGTCCATGTAAGAGCCCGGGAGTGAAGATGCCTTTGAACGGGTGGCAGAGCAGGGTGAGGAAGTGGATAGAAGAATCCACCTTAACCTTCATTGTAATATGTGTGGTGTTCTCACTGCCCAAGATCATGCGTACGAAGGGCTGAGAGCTCTGGTACAATGGATCCGCGAGCGTCACCTGTGCAAGGGGGCAAGACTGCACTGCACTTTGGCAAGACAAACGATGTCATATTACTTGTTAGGCCTTTGGGGTGTCTGCTGTGTGGTTGGATGGGAACTAACAATCCCATTTGAACTACGATTTTCCGTACGGCAAACGTTGATCGGTTCGATCACTTTGAACGTGTTTGAAGTGGGGATTTGTCATTCCAAAACTCATTCCAAAACTTGCAACACCCGATGCTTCTTGTCCCATCTTGGACCATTCAGGCAGAAATGATAGCCGTCAGGTAACAAATCACAACACAGTGGTCGCCGATAGGTTTCTTCACAACCAAATCACCACTGAACTCATGGTAGCGTCACGTCGGCATATGACGGCTAAAGGATCATGGGCGGGGCAGCTCGTTGCCAGCTAACTGAGGCATTCCCAGTCTTGTCGATGAAGCTAACGGTCCCGCTTTGATAATTGATACAGACCCCGAGATGGTTAAGTTAGTCAATTGCTTTCATCACAACTTACCCGATACTCCCTTGTAAGTTCAGTGTTGACGCCAAGAAAGTAGCGCACATCACAAATTCTCTTCAGTGTTAGGAACATTGGTTCATGGAGGCCTCTCTGTTTGCTGACCTCTCCCCTGCCTGTATAGTCGTGGGTAAAAACGCACATGTTGAGAGTCCCCGTGCCACAGCGACATAGATTTTCGAGCTTCACAGTCAGTTACCGTGCAGTGAGTGGACTCGCATGTGCCCCGAAGAAGGACCGTCAGCCCCGTGGTCGGGCCATCTCAGTGGTCACACCACGGACGCACTTCATCAGTTTCACCGATCACTGAGCTTCGCCGTCAGGCGACCTGGATAGTGAATCAAAGGTTGCGGGTGTTGCTTCTTTCAGATCATCCATTCAGGGCTTTGTATTTTGGTGTTTGTGCACACGTATCCCCTAGCGGTCACTTAATTTGAAGTAAAAAGCCGCCCTCTTTTCTAACAGTGGTAGGTGCCAATGAATACCAGGGTCGAAAACTGGGCCTCCCCGGAGTGATTGTCTCCTTGGTATTTCCTGCGATCGATCACAGACGTATTGACTCAGTTTGTTTGCTATTAAGCCAAGCTATGGCCAACTTGTTGTGACAGTCTGAACATTCAGGTCTGACACATGTGATGCATGCAATTTCAAACAGGAAATTCCCTTGATAATTCCGAACAGAAAAATCAAAAGACGTAGACTGTGAGATGAGTCAGTCATTTCATGCAAGGTCATCAATTATAAACACGTAAAATTATAGATATACAAAACGCGGTCATTTGACATAATTAGCTAGCCAGTTGTCGCGCCTCGCGCTACCATGGTAAGGGATGTAACTAAGGATTATTTTCATGTAGCTAAAGAAATCGAACAACTTCAAAACCATCTACGTAATTTCACCAAACAGTCGCAACAACGTTTTTTCATGATAGCACGGGTGGATACGCGTTCGTTTTACTGAACAATATCCCAGTTGGGTACCAAAAAATTCCCGCTTTAGATCAACAGCATCGTACGGGAAAATATGGTGGCTGAAATATCGAATCCTCTCCGATGCAACGATATGGCTATCCTGTTCCACATTACCAGTTTTTGAGCCTATTCACAACACCGGAACCACACTTCGTATCCTTCCGTAATTCCATGGGAGAGGTTTACGGGGCGGTGATGGCCTGCTGTGTCGTGGCCGCCAGTCACTCATTTGACTGACCGCGGGGCTGCACCTGCAGATTTCCGCAGGGGGTGGCGGTTGACCTATAGTTGGAATCACCCAACGAAACCCGGTATACTGTGTCGATTGGGTGTCAAGGCGGACCTCAAATGTCTTTGGTGTGTAGGAGCATCTTGGGCACAGATGGATGTCAACAACAGTCTTATGGGCTGGCTGTGCCCACGGACGTCGCGGATTTTTATTTTACCGTGCTGGATTCTACTTCTGCTTTGGAACTACTGTGTTATACGTGGTTTCTCTGTGTGAATTTTGTACCAATACTTTGCTTTTGGTATATTTTTCCATCTGTGCAAACTTGGTGAATATTCTCCGGCTACTGCCGGTGATCTCACTGTTTGGCTCAACTGCCCTCTATGTCCGTCATCGTGGATTTGTTCTACAGCAATGGAACAGGTGTCTGCCAGACCACCAGCTTGATCGACGGTGTTTGGATTCAGCATACCAGTGCAGACGTTGCAACGAACGGCTTCCGCAGATCTGACAGTCACAATGGCACGTACTGGTTGCCCACGGAAAGCTAAGCCCAAAGCTTCCGAAATAAACGTTAGTTGTGGCGTAGACAGCTGTGTAAAACTTGTGCGATTTGGAATAGAATGCAGAAACTTCCGAAAATACTTCCATTCTCGATGTGCTCGCCTTAGTCTCAGCCAGATAAGAAAGCTTAATAGTACGACTGATTCTTTCTGGTTCTGCAATGAGTGTACGTCTCTTCCACTCGTCAGGTGTATAGCTGTGTTGGCGCAGAAGTACGATAGGCTGACAAAGATTGTAGAGCAGGCAGCAGCCATGAAAGCTGTCCCACATGAACCAGACACATCAGTGCCTCGAACTCGATGCTCAACATCAAGCTCCAATTCAGCACAGTGTAAGAGAAACGATCCAGAGTTAGTCACCCCGGCACTAGCGTCTGCTCATAAAGATGGGTTCGCCACGCATTCCTCAACAGAATCCCCCGCCACACTAAACACTGTTAGAGGGCCGACAACCTACGAGTCCGTTGTTGCTAGCCATATGACGGAGGCACCTCCCATTGCAACCCTGCCCGCTGCCAAATGAGTTACTACTGCCAATACCACCACGGGACTCATGACCCCATCATTTGTCCAACCGAAGAAAGCAGCCACTGGTCCCCAAAAAGGAGAACATGAAACACTACCATAATTCGCTAAGTATTATTTGCTCTAATGCGACTGAATCCGGGGTGAACTTCATAAAAGATAAGATACTAGATGACAAAAGCTGGGACTCCCTGTGTCAACTAATAGGGGTTCAAACTAAACCAGTCAGTATGATGCGTCTCGTCCGTCACCTAAATTCCGTACACTACGGTGAACCGCGGTTACTC